TTATATGTATAATATGAGATTTAATATATAACATTTAACATCTAGCTTGGCTCATGGCCCTTTCTTGTTTATTTATTAATTTATTCGAATTGAGGAGCCTTATTGTATTTTTAAGTATTGTTATAAAGTTGTTATCCTCCATTGTCGATTCTCAAGCTAATAAATAATTGCAACTAAATTATTTTTTTTTATAATAACTTCTTTTTTCTATAACTTTTTTTTATATTTGGTATTATCACAACCCATACTTTTTTACTCAAAATAGCAAAAAACATTGCACTAATAGAATATAGAAAAAATACGAAATTTTATACATAAAAAGAAAATTAATGTTATTCAAACACGGATTAAAAAATTTATTTTTTGTAGTTAAGTAATGAATATAATATAGTATGTAGTAATGTTATGCAATGTAGGAGGTAATGTTATGTAATATAAAAAGTTATGCAAATAAAAATTATATTACGCAAATAAAATGTCTTATATATAATATTGTATTATGCACTATTTTTTTTCAGGAATAGTATTTACATTTATTATATTGTATTGAAATGAAAATGCAAATAAAATCATACAATAAAAATATTATTTTATACATAATACGAGGGCAAGTCAATAAGTTCTTAGAAAATCTCTCAGAGGACTCTTGCAGTGTCATGTCACATTACTTTTTGACAAGTAGCATCTTTCAGCTAATTACTGTCAAATTTTGAGCGGAATTTATCGTGTGATTTCATTTCTGTAGACGATTAAAGCGAACAACCTTTGTATTTTTTGCAAAATGGAAAAAAACGAGTTTCGTGCAGTGATCAAATATTTACATATGAAAGGTTTAACACCGAAAGAAACCTAAGCCGAGTTGGATAATGTTCATAGAACATTTGCACCAGCGTTTGCGACTGTATACAATTGGATGAATGAATTTAAACGTGATCGTACATCCACATGTGATGCACCTCGTTCGGGACGTATAATTGAGGCTACCAGAAATAATCGATAAAGTCCATGATTATTTTGACTGATCGACGAGTGAAAGTGCGCGAGCTTGTTGAGGCCACAGGCATATCACATGGTACAGTGATTTCAATTTTGCACGAACAATTGGGTATGAAAAAATTATCGGCAAGATGGGTGCTGCGTTTGCTCACTGTGGACCATAAGCGATCGTGTGAGGATTTCAAAACAATGTTTGGAGATGTTTCAACGTAATCCAGATGAATTTCTGCGTCAATTCATTACTGTGGACGAAACATGGATCCATTACTTCACATCCGAGACGAAGGAACAGTCAAAACAATGGACTTCACCGAGTGAATCAGCTCCGAAGAAGGCGAAGACCATGAAGTCGACCGGAAAGCTGATGGCCACAGTTTTTTGGAATACACGCGATATAATTCATATCGATTATCTTCCGTCGAAGCGATCAATGGCGATCAATTACTACGCGGTCTTATTGGCCCATTTCAACAACATTTTAAAGAAAAAACGTTCCCATTGGACGAAGAAGAAAGTGCTCTTCCATCAAGACAATGCAGGGTTCACACGTGCCTGGCACTGAATGGCCAAATTCAACGAATTCCGCTACGAATTGCTTCCCCATCCAGCATATTCGCCAGATTTAGCTCCCTGCGACTATTTCCTGTTTCCAAACCTGAAGAAATGGTTCGGAGGAAAGAGATTTACCACCAGAGAGCAACTCATCGCCGAAACAGAGGCTTATTTTGAAGGGTTGGACAAATCATATTATTCGGACGAAAAAGTTGGAGAATCGTTGGATCAAGTATATCGAGCTGAAAGAGACTATGTTGAAATAAAAATGAATCGATCAAAAAAAATGTGTTTTATGTTTTTCTAAAAATTTATTGACTTGCCCTCGTATTTATTGTAATGTTTTAGTTACTTGCAATCCTTTGAATATAATCAATTTAAATATCATTTTTGAGAAATACTTAAGTTTATTCTAATGTACAAATTTTGTAATCTGTAAATAGTATAAATATATATAATCATAAAACTCTTAATAAATTTATTTAAGTATAATACTTCAGATCACTGAGAGGATTACGGTCAATATTTCCAAAAGGTTTCAACAATTTCCGTAACTTTTTGATAATATTTTAAGAAGATTGCAGATTCTTTCTGTAATTTTAGTAATCTTTTCAACAAAGTTTCATATGCAACAATCGCGGACATTTTACTATTCCAGAGCTCTCAGAAATTTTGCAGATATATTTCGCAACTTTTATGGAATGTTTCACTTTTCAATTTAAATATTTTTGAAAACTTTCGGTGCTATATGAGTATTGAGATCCCATAATCGTAGTCTGGAAAATCTTGACGGTTCACGTAAAGATACACGGCCGGTCTCGCGTTGACATGTCGCTGCGCGTGAGATACTACCGTGTTTCTTGATTTCTTTAAAAAAGATCCACTCTTGTTTTTTTATTTCAATTAAATGAAAAATATCATATTGCATACGATTCAATTTATGTATCATTGGTTAAAGAGATTTATAATTTACAAAATATTTATATCAGTATGTTTTAATAAAATTTAGTTAGAATATATATATATATATATATATAGTAAATATATATATATATATATTTACTAGTAATAATAAATGTTTATTTTTGTTCTTTACCTTCTTTCAAATTTTAATATATTTACTAATAAGTACTGATAGTAATTACTGAATTTACGTTTTCATTGTAATACATAATACAATACAAATTTTTGTTATTTATTTTTGTTTAAGGATGTACGATCGATCACTTACTGGGTAGTTGAGGAGGGTACACTATTGTTCTACATTGATAAAATACCAACATAATATATAAAAAATTTTTAATAATAAAAAAGGCTAATTTATGATTCATTAAAATTAAATGATAATATTAATTGCTAATTTTTATATATAATTATGAATCATAATATAATATTCTATTATTAGAAAATGCAAGTAATTTAATGTGTTATGTTCAATGATTATCGATAACTTGATAACGCTACATTCTGAAAATGAGGTTGGCATTCCTACTCGAGTTGCACACTAGTAATTGACTAGTGCCACTAATAATTGACAGTTGAGGTTAAAATTTATTTTTATATACGTGTTTACAATTAAAAACATAACAATAGGTTATAAGCAAGCATATTATAGTATAAGTATATTATATAAGCACATATATATTCAATCATCACGCATGTGTCACAGGATGAAGCAAGCCGCAATCTAACGTAATGTTAACGTTGCCAAATTTTCCGTGTATATTTCTTTAGATGCTCAAATAGGCATGCTTTCAAGCTTTTTGCTTGTATACAAATAAATTACACGGTGAATAGAGTTAAAATTCTTGTAAGAATGTAAAAAAAGATTTCTTCTAATTATTTATATGTTTTATATGTGGATCGAAGCATTTTAAAAGTAAGTTTAATTAATGTAATATATCAATCATTCGATGCATGTCGTATGTATGCATAAAACTCTAACTTTGGCTCTTTCTTTTTTAAAAATTACACGGTTTGAAATTTTAATATAGTATTACCCAGTGAGAAATGAAAATGAAATCGAATCGACGTCGATTTGGTGCTTTCAACATCGAATCGACATCGATTCGTTGTCGATTCCATTATCATTTCTCATTGGGTAATTTCGTTTTAAATAATATTCTGTATAATTTTTAGATAGATCGAAGCATTTTAATTTTTCGATCATACCTCGTTAAGAGAATGCTGGAGAGATCGCCGAACTTGATCGATGTTGGTAGTACAGATTTTTTAAATTCCAAATCAAAAAGTCAGTAATAGTGACATCTTCAGTTCATTTCTTACATTATCGTTTTATATCACTCAAACGCATACATCTGCCCTTATTTAATATATTGCAACACCATCTCTTGTAAGATTGAACACCTACTACTGCTAGATACAATTATGTAATTATTACTGCTTTGTTTACTATTCCGAGTCTTCACTCAGCATTTGTATACACGTTATTTGCAGATCGATATAAATCTTTTTTTTTAAACTTTTAATCATTTCATAAACTTATTATTTGTGCACGTAAAGCGCTGAGTGCTAAACTGTCGTTTTGTCCACCTCCGCATTTAAGAGTCGTTCCGTTATAAAATACTTCAACCAATTTGAGTGATTCAAAATATAAGTATTCGTTTCGTAAATCAAAAAAGTTCGAATTCGTCAGAGATAGTTTCCTTTTTCTTTTTTTAATGAATTATATTGTTATTTTGCGCTTTTTTGCAAAAAAAACATTTCTTTGCAATAGAGCATTTCGAGACTCTGTCTCAGAAACGTACGTACCGTTAATAGTTTTTGTGTGCGAAACTAATTTTTTAACCATTTAAGAATGCTTTAATATTGTTTTTTTTTTAAAGTATTATCATATCGATATTCTAGTTATTTGAAAGATGTAACAAATAAACAAAACACATATTTTAAAGAAAAAGAAAAGTTGGCTCAAATGCAAACTTGATTCGTCAGAGTGGTTGTTCAAACTTTTAACTCGAAAACAAAGCCGCATGTTGATAAACGTCGCAACACGTATATTTTTTTACTTCAAAAAAAATTATCAAAAAAATTAGCATCAAAAAACTCGGTGAATACTTCTGAGGTTCCCCTTGTCAGTATACATGTGTTAAATTAATGTGAAAAGATTATACATACGATGAATGAAATAGTGAGTCATTCTTTATACCTATATTGGGGTACTATTATCAATTTTTAATACTGTAATGAACAAATTTTCAATATTTTAAATATTTATTTTTCAATATTTCACAAGTTTATATAATATACATCTGCTGTAGTTAAAAAAATAAAGAAATTAAACTGTTTATGTTTTTGGGAATTATTAAATACACACACACACACACACACACGCACGCACGCACGCACGCACATCACACACACACAACACACACACACACACACACACACACACATATATAACATTTTAATGTTTCAAAAAAGATATGAATACATAACTAATATATTTCTTTATTTACAATTTCATAAATTTTTGTATAAGTAGATGGTATGTATCTCTTGAAACAAACACTAAAAACCGTATAATACATTAAATGTTACACAAATATAATAACACAGTAATGTTATTATATATAAAGGATGGTAATTTCAAAATACCATTTGTGTATATGCAGTATTTGCAATACTGTAATGAATAGTGTATGATACACTAGGAATGTAACGTAATGTATGAAAAAACATATATTATATGCTGGTTGTCGTCAAACAGTAATACATGAAATCAATTGCTGACAAAGTTGACTATATTGCAATTGGTCCCCACTAATCCTACGCATTTTTATTCCTTTCGTTTCTCTTTCTTCCGATTCAAATACCCTAAGTTCAATTTGTACACCACCTGGATATTCTAAACTAAGTCCACTACCTTTCACTTCCTCTCTTGAAAATATAAAACCTTTCGGTGGCGCTCTTGCATCTATTATTTGTTTAACACGACCTAATATAGTTTCGGAATTTAATCTGCTTGACTCATCAGATAAAGGAACTTCGACTTCAGTAGGTATCGTATTGTGTGGTCTACCGATACCGCGTGTTATACTAGGTCTCGAAGGATCGCACGGCTCTGAAATAATAAAACTCGGAAGAGTGTTGTAATGAGGTAATGTATCTTCGAGTGAATCCGGTGATGGAGACGGAGAAGGCGAGCAACTTATTAACGTCACTTGTCCTCCAAGAACATCTGTCACTGAAATTTGCGGTGGTACCTATAAACAAATATTAAAATTAAAAATTAAGTGATTTGAATAAGGCTGTATGAAATTACAACATTATAAATTTATACGTTATTTTTATTTTAGAAAAGATTTATCTCAATATTTAGTGATAATTATTCAACATAAAAAAATTTATCAACATAAAAAAAGAAATGTTGATACTTTTTTAAATTAAATTAAATTTAATAAAATATCAAAACTTTTTAGTATTTAGACAATAAAAAATTAAAACTTCTTAATATTTAAACAATAAAAAATATTTGAACAATTACAATTTTTATAATAAAATTGTATTTAAACATAAAAATATTCAAATAAAATTTTAAAATTTTACACAAATAAAATATTATATTATTCTATCTATCATTAATGTTATAGTAAACCAACAATTTCTTATGAAATATTATGTGATGTACAGTAATCAAATTTAAATTCAGTTAAATCATGTTGATAAGTCAGTGATTGCAGCAAAGGACTCAAATTAAATCTTATCACTGTATATTTAAAGTAAAAAAATTTCTGAAAAAGAATAGAACAATAAAAACAATCTAATAACGAATAAACAAAATCGGATGAAGTTCCGAAAGATGAACTTTTCGATTTTGTTGTTGATTGGTATACTACTGTATTTTGTGCTGATTATTGATGATGACAAGTACAATCATAAAAATTATCAAGAACATTTTGACGGGTCATTTACCGCGTAATCTACCTAAGCGTCACTACTCCGGTAGCATGCTTGCCATTACATGCTATCGAGTGGTAGGGATGCTTAGAGGCGCACGACTTCCACGTGAAGCGACTCTCACTCCACCTCCCTCTCTGCTTTAGGGGGATGACTTTCCACGCGAAACGCACGAAAAAAATCGTTTTTTTAATATTTGACCTTGAAAATGACCTTATCCGCAATTTTTATTATCATATTCGTAATCAGGACATCAAAATATGTAATATGTCAATCGATAAGAAAACCGAGGAGTTCACCTTTTTGGAACTCTATCCACAAAATCGAATAAATAAATTAAATAAATAACTTTAAATCATAATTTCAATGTTTAAATGTTATTTTTCATAAAATTTACTTAAATATATTAATATATTTTTAAAAAATTATAAAAAAAATAAAAAATGTAATAGATATTCACATTAAATCAACCTTCAAAAGTCAAAGACCTTAACATATGTTGTCAAAATTATAACTCTGAGTGACCTCCAACACAGTTTTAGCCTTCACTCATTCAAAAAATTATTAATAAAAAAATTTAAGAAATAAACGTTTTCTTATTTCTGCAATGTTACGAACTATTTCACAGCCTTCCTTCCTTACGTAATGATTTTTCACGCGAAGCAAGGTCAATCTTACACCTCCTTCTGCCTATGGTCGTCTGATTTTCTGTACGAAGCGATATTTATACCACATTCCTCCCTAGGGGCATACGACTTTCCGCGCGAAGTGAGGTCGATCCCATATCCTTGTCTAGAAAATCATGATGCCGTGTAATGCTTACTTGCACATACTGGGACGCGATGAGCAATGAACGACAAGCGATATGCAATGAAAACTCTGTTTTTTTTTTCTTACGTGATGATATAAAACAACTCTCATTGAATATGGCTCGTCGCTCATCGTTCATTGTGCAGTAAACATAAAAAGGGATAGACCTTTGCTTCGCGTAGAAAATCATTATGTTAGCAGGAAAGGGAGTGTAAAATAGTTCTTAATAATGTTTTAATAAACAGCGAGCAATGGTAAAACCTGTTGAAGATCACTTAAGATTATAATTAACTTTGATGAGAAGCTGGTTCTCTCCATTCAAAAGTTTATCATATAAAATACTGTATATCATAAAAAATAAATTAAAAAAATATTCGTCTGTGTAATCATATTTTTTATGAATAATTTTTTTATTATAAACAACAACTGATCTAAGACCTTTTGATTGTTACTCAGGGCCATAATCATGACAACATATGTCAAAGTTATGATCCTGAATAACAATCAAAAGATTTTAGCCATCATTCATTATTTATTAAAAAGTTATTCATAAAAAATATATCCAGATAAACATTGATTTTTCATTGATTTTTAAAGAGGTTGACTTTATGTGAATATTTACCAAAAATGTTAATTGTTTAAAATTTGAAAAATAAACTCATTTATTTACAAATAATAATAAGGATGTGCGATTTTCAAAATTGCAGTGAACGCTGTTACAATGTATATTAACGCTGAACAATATATATTATATCACAATTTTTATATGTATATATACTGCCATGTTTATGTGTATATACACTGCCATGTCTCCTGATTTTATCAATTGCCCATTTTTGTCGCATTAAAAATTCAGAGCAATAACAGAATAATTGTTCAAATAATTGTTAGAACGCAGCAAATATGAGAGCATATTTTTCTGTGTAAGAGCATTAAAAATCCCTAATAAATACGCTTCTAAAGAAAAAATCCTTCACGAAATAGAAAATTATATTTTTTACTGCACGTTAGTTGAATTGTTTAAATAGTTTAAAGGATTTAAAGAAGCACATAATATAAATCGCAGACGTGATTTTAAATCACATGCGATTTCATGATTAAGAGAAGCCAGTTATATATCGCTTTAAGAAAAAAATCGTGATATTTATGCAAAATCGCACATCTTTAAGTAGTAAATACATTCTTTTTTCATCATCAATTTTTTAACAAATTATAATGAAGTTCAAAATTTTGTAACGTGTTCTAATAGGCAAATAGATTTAAATTTTCAACAAAAACAACTATTAAATATAGTAAAAACAAATTTATGTTTAATATATAAAAATATGAATATAATGAAAATTCAAAAAAGTTTAAATCAAGAGACACGGTAGTGTCTCGCACCAAGTGTACGCGCAGCGCGAGATCACCTGGGTCTCTTTACACGAGCCGTTGACTTGCCGAGATTATCAAATCTCAATAACGCCTGAAATGAATCTAGTTTTGGGTAAGTCTAATCAATAGTGTTCCAATTGTATAATACAAGTGTTTTTATTCCTCTACAAGCAGAAATATTGTGACATAAAGACATGTCAAATTTTTACATATTAAAATATGTCAGCGCTCCTTGGAATGTGTTTTCCTTTTCATATTTTTGATAACAGGCAATATTTAAAAGACGACTAAGGACTGATTTCGCAGTAGATCGTTGTCGTTAATATCATTTGACATATGTCAAACGTGAGAATTTACTTGGTTATCTTACTTACAGCATCTATCTTACACGATACTAAACAATAAACACTTACAGCAGAGTCTTCCAAATGGTCATATCGTGTCCCCACCAAGATTTCAACTGTAAGCAGGCCCCCCTCTCAATTTTACCCCCTCCAACTATCTTCCAGTCTTCTCGCCATTAGCGTTTAGAGCCGTCGCAAACAAGTATGCAAGTATAACTCTTAAGAGCAATAGAAATCCCAGACGAAAATAAAATAAGTTATAAATATGGCTTCTTTTGTTTTTGTCTCTTTCTCGATATATGTATCTATCTTTCAATGAAACTGCGCTTGACTGTTATACAGGTTGTGTTCCAAAATTGACTGCCAGTACTGAAAATCTACAGTGCACATAACGTAAATTGTAGCATTTTCAGTGTTGGCAGTAAATTTGGAATACAGTCACGAAATGATACGCCGCGACACCGCGTCACCGCACAGATTGCACAACCACGAATAGAGAAGCGTTGGATCCATGGTGGGGAACACGAGCGGACGAGAGGCAAAGGGATTAAGAATCGACAGGAGACCCGTGGAAACTTCTAGTCGAAGATGAATTTTTTTATACCGAAATTACGGCTAAAAATACTGGATGGATCGTGTTTTAATTGCGATATTCATAATCAGGAAAGGCTCGTACAGAGCGATTTTTTTGTAAAAAGAGAAAAATAAAAATTTGTTCTGATATCTCACTCGATGTGTATAGTGCAGTTGAGATGTATATGATCTTATTAATAAAAAGTTTCAAGAATCAATTTGCAAAATCTGCTATGTACGAGCCTTCCCAACAATATAACAAAGAAATCCTAAAGGTTTCATAAGGAAATATTATTATTTTTTCGAGAAGAAAAATGAGCATAACCTAAATCACCAGAATTGCACATTCTGTTATAGTTGATTGTTAATCATAAGGAAATTCTTCATGTTGAATTGAACAAAGAAAGATAATAGGTTTCCTTGTCTTTCTTGACGGCATCGATAATTCTCGCCTTCGGCGTGCCGAGAGTGGCCGAGAATGAACTAGACAGCATGAGATAACCTGTTAAAAAAAATCTTTCGATCCATGCGCCTAGTAGATCGAAGACCGAAAATGCTTTCTCAGCGATCTCGGCCTCTCGGTGTATATCATTCGTATAAAGGCATTCGAGATAACATATAAGTTTTAATAAATTTTAGTAATCATAAACCTTTCCCATTAATGTATAATAGCAAAAATGATTTCAAAACGCAATAATTTATGAAATATTAATTATTTACGATTTTTGATGAGAGTTATATATTGCGTTTAAACACAGTCTGTAAGAATTTCATGTGGTTATATGCGTAAGATGTGAAATCAGTAGATCTGGAGATCCCACGTTCTAATCCTACATTTTTTTTCTTTTTTCACATATTTTTTCTGAAATAAAGTTATTAATAAACATATTAGAGCGAATATATTTTTATATAATTATTGAATTTATTCGTATACTTTTAAAAGTTTTAAACCAATAACCAAAATATAGTCAAACGTTAAAAAGAATATGGATAAAATTATTAAAACCATATCAGAGGTTAGACACAATAAATTAATTTATTAAATCTTCATTATGTCAGTAAAAAGTTCAAATCGGACCTACATTTTGTTGAAAAGCGAGAAAAATTGGAATCATGAGTTAAAGTATTTATAATTACGTTATATGAAGTTAGATGATGAAATCAACTACTTTATTTATCTCTTTCTCGGCATGCTATTCTTATTTTACATCTAATAAACAGAAGATGGAATAACAGAAATAGCGATAATGTCTTCCCGAACGCAATCGTCAATTTCAATTTCTATTTAAAAGTTGTTTTGTTTGTGAAAATAATTTCAGTATCAGGAGAGTGGCTTCTTATCTCAACATATAAATAAAAGTATGTGTGAGATAAAAAGCTAATATTTTACAATGAAAGCATTATATAAATTAAATTAAACATTAAATTAATTAATCAACATTTGGGTATGTAATGTATGAAGAAGTTATTGTTAAATTAATAAATTATTAAAACAGATTTTAAATATAAACAGTATTAAAAATATTTTTTGCATTAATGCACTAAGGTCCGGTTGCACCAACGTTTTGATTTTAAGTGAAACTTAAAACTCTCTCTATCTCGTTTTAAAACCGAACAACAAAAACAGGAACAAAGAGAGTTGTAAGTCTCGCTTAAAATTAAACTAACGTTGGTGCAACCGGAGATAAAAAGTTTATTCAATCTTAAAATTTTATTACTTTATATAATATATTTATTTATATTTTTATATCAAAATTAAGGAGAAAACCACAGGAGAAAAAGAGAATAATTCTATTATTATTTTAATATTAATATTTATTTTAAAAGTTTATTCGAGTCCAGTCAATACAGAGTATTTATAAAATATTTTATAAATATTCTGTGCTATCTGAGAGAGTAAAGTTAATTAATTTTTACGTTTTCAATTCGTTATTTGTTACAAAATTATTCATTGAAGAAAACATTATATTGCGCTTTCATTTATAAATTTCTAAAAAAGTGCTAGCGTATAATGATCTCTCTTTAATTTTACTAATATAACTGTGTAAAATACAATAAATAATTATTACTACAAATACTGATTATGTAAATATATAGATTTGTAACCTGTTAATTGTTAAATGACTAATTGTAACAATTGATATTTAATCTATCTGGAAGAAACTTTAATTCGATTAAAAAAATTAATTCAATAGTCATGTTAATTATAAATTCTTTTAGGATGTTTTATTAATTTGTACATATACAAAATCATTAAGTTTTTTATAAAGACAAATAAAGAATATTTAAAATATTAATATTTTAATATATTTTAATATATTAATATATTCGGAGGAGATGGCTTTTCATGAAAAAGTAATTTATTTTGTAGAAGAATCTGAAACATCCATTTATTCTTTTAAAATAAACATTTTTAATACTCTATAATTATAATTTCCTTTAAAGCTCGATTATACACTATCGTATTTAATTGCTTGAAAATATTAATATTAGATCATATTGCTACTATTAACTTATTATGAGAAACATTAATTTCATAGAATATTTATTTTATTTATAATATTAAGTACATAGAATATTTTTTTGTACATATGTATTTACAATGTATGCACAGTTATAAAATAACATTTACATATACGCAAAGTGTGCATATACAAAAATTCATAATTCGCTATTCCTTATTATAAGCTTTGTTCCTTATTGCTTTCTGCTACAAAAGGTCAGAAAGAATTTTCGTACCAAATCTTGAGTAGATACACGGTGTGACACAGTGTATCATTATATCCTTGTTATTCGACAAGGATAATGATCACTATCTTGCACTGCAGGCACACAACATTTTATTGCAAGACAAAGTATAAAAATCAAGATTCTAGAATTATATTGAAAAAAAAATGAGCATTCCATCTGATGAATTTATTTTCATTGTAAAATTCATACTCTCTCTCTCTCTCTCTCTCTCTCTCTCTCTTCCTCCCCTCCTCTTCTCTCTTCTCTCTCTCTCTCTCTCTCTCTCCCTCCCCCCCTCCCTCCCTCCTTCCCTCCCCTCTTCTCTCTCTGCTACTTATTTTATTACTAAAACACTAAGAGCTTTAAATTTGGAATTACTGTGAATAACACGAAACATTTTTACTATTTGGTCTATTTGAATATAATCTTTTCGTAAAATCTGTTACTAAATTGAATTTTCCTATAATTAATTAATTTTTTACATAAATGTACTTCAGACATTCAATTTTGGCTAAGGTACATCATTTGACTTTATATAACGTAATTATAAAAACTTTAACTCATGATTCCATTTTTCTTGCATTTGAACAAAGAAATAGTTTTAGTTTGATTTTTTACTACTCACTGACACAATAAAAATTTAATTTATTTATAATATTTATTTATATTGTGTCCAATCTCTGATATGATTTCAGTTTATTTATATTCATTCTAATGTTTGACTATATTTTGTTTTTGTTTGACTATATTTTGGTTGTTGGTTTAAAACTTTTAAAGTGCACGTATAAATTCAATAATTGTATAAAAATATGTTCGCCCTAATATGTTTATTAATAACTTTATTTTAGAAAAAATATGTGAAAAAAAGAAAAAAAACATAGGATTTGAAGGTTTGAACGTTAGGGATTTCCAGTTCTCACACCTTACACACACGACCAGAATTCTTACATATTATGTTTATGAACGTGGTATATAATATAACACGCATGGAAAATTGTAAATAATTAATATATTGTAAACTATCGCAGTTTAAAATCAATTTTGCTATTATACATTAATGAGAAAGGTATGTAATTAAAAATTTATTAAAACTTATATGTTATCTCGAATGCCCTTACTGATATACATCGAACGGCCGAAATCGCTGAGAAAACATTTTCGGTCACTTGTACAGCGATCAGAGCGAGAACTTCGGGCTCTCGTTCTCTTTCGCTATCTCATTCGCTCTCATAGGAATCATATTAGTGTTCGTACGTATATGAATACACACCACATAAGAAGATGGAGATTATATTATCTGAAGTTGGCAGCCCTGAATCCAGAACTTCAAGGTCCTACCACGTGAGGTCTCCAAAGTCAAATCGGACTTGGCCCTTCACTCCTGTCGACCTTTAAGGGCGGTGCCTGACTTGGAAGGCTCTGACTTACAGTATATACGATACTAAACAGTAAACATCTAATTCTGCAAACCGCACATCGAATTCTTTTTCCCGGTAAAAAATTTGTCATATATAACCGTGTAAAGTATATAATATTATATTACAAATATACGTAATAATATATATAACCTATTGTATAATATATACAGTGTACAAAAAGTCCGAAACCATTAAAGTATCTCGAAAAACAAGCATTCCTGAAGGAAAAGTTTTATATAAAAATTGTAGGATTTGAAATCTATTTATTAATCTGATTAGTTTGACTTTTATACTCTTCCCCCCTCTTCCTCGCTCTTCCCCCTTTCCCTCCGCGTACACGCATGTATACATTCCATCCAGAAGCTTGTTAGATCTCTCTGCCTCTCTCTTCCTCCCTTTGATCCTCCATAAAAGTGGAAAGGAAAGAGACACAGAGAGAGAGAGAGAGAGAGAGAG